GGCAAGAGGAGAAGGGGACGACAGAGGATGAGATGGCTGGACAGTGTCTGCGAAGCAACCAACATGAAATTGACAGAACTCCGGGAGGCAGTAGAAGATAGGAGAGCCTGGCGTGCTCTGGTCCATGGGGTCACGAAGAGTCAGACACGACTAAACGACTAAACAACAACAACAATTTACAAGTTTATATATTAAGATATTATATGGTATATGGAAAAGTTATTTTTAGACAATTTCCAGAATCTCAGCCAATGGTCCCATCAGATGAGTGATTCTTGGAGCCATAGTTTTAAAAAGTACTTTTCTATAAACTCCAGGTATGAGGCTACATATGTGCATGAAGGGGTCTGTTGAAATTGCCAGTGAAGTGTGTCAGATATCAAAACAGAGACATATTCACAACTTCTACTGTTATTGTGCCTGCACAACGCACCCAATTGTAGCAGTTGTGCAAGAAAAAAAGGCACAAAGCTAGATGATGTAACATAGATGTTTCTTTTCATACAACAGTTCTCTTGGACTCTTTTAATATACAGTATACATGTGCTGGCTGGATTGGCGGATAGTGTTGCTGGCTTTTAGAAGCAACAGTCAACAATGAACAACCATCATCACGGATTTCCCTCCATAGATTAAAACTGGCCTGGCTTGGTGAACAGTTAAGAGTAATTTTCTGTGTGTGCTTTTAATATGTTTAAAGGCTAAAAATTATTTAAAGTTACAAAGGTTTTACTTTTTAAAGATGTGTTTCAGATATGTCTTCTGTTTTTTAATGTGCTTTTTAGGCTATAAGTTCCTGCCTTTTTAGAATGTAACTGAAACATTATTATTGTTCTATTTTTGTTAAAAAGATATTTTGGACCAAATTCTGACTTAAGTATTTGCTTGCAATTTAAGTTTAGCTTTCATATATTTTTAAACATTTGTCCATACAGCTTTTTCATAGCTGTAAGACAGCTGAATATTTGAGATTTTATTTCTGAGCATATGGAATATAGAAGCTATGTAGAGAAATAAAACCTGCAGAGGTAGACAAACTGACATCGCTAGGAATTATTGCAATGGTGAAAAACTTGATACTCAGATGAATGTTTATACTGTATGATGGTCAATGTGGCTCAGTTTCATTCTTCAATCAATCCTTTTTCGGGATAAATGCCAGCTGTGATGAACACAGGCTTCTGATTTTTCCACAGCCAGATGCCTATGCCACTGAGGTAATCCAGCTATCTGGCTATAAACCTAGAGGTCTATAAAATTCTGTAGGACTCTTAGGAATATATTCAGGCATCATAGTTCTTGACCTGACAGAGAATCTAACAAGTTAGACAAGGAAATTGAGCCAGATGCCTACGCCACTGAGGTAATCCAGCTATCTGGCTATAAACCTAGAGGTCTATAAAATTCAGTAGGGCTCTTAGGAATATATTCAGGCATCATAGTTCTTGACCTGACAGAGAATCTAACAAGTTAGACGAGGAAAATGATTAACGAAGTTTTTGCGATCGCTTTTGCGATCACAAAATAATGTTTTAAATGGGAAAAATCGTTTCACGATGATCGGTTCCCTGCTTCGGGTTTCAGAATGGCTGCCCGCTGTTTAAAATGGCTCCCCGCTGTGCTTAGGACGGATTCCTCACATTACAGGCACCAGAAAATGGCCGCCCTATGGAAGATCTGGACGCTGAGGTATTTCGCCCATTGGAATGCATTGAGCGGTTTTCAATGCGTTTCATTGGGTTTCTTCATTTCGCTTGACAAGGATTTCGCTTGTCATTTGAATGGATTATCCTCGTCAAGCGAGGCACCACTGTATTTGGCTGCGGAGCCAGAGATAGGGAGTTTGATTCCCCACTGGGCCTTCTGCAAGTGGAGCCAGCCTGTGTGGCCTTGGGCAAGCTGCACAGTCCCAGAGTGTCCTTAGAAGAAGGGAAAGGTAAGCCATTTCTGAGAATTCTCTACCTAGAAAACCTTGAAAAGTGTAGCCATAAGTCAGAATACAATAGAAAATCAAAATGTATACATATATACAGCTTTACCTTGCAGTCCATCCGAAGTATATGCTGAGCAACGATCTTGGCAGTGTTGTGAGTGAGCAGCTCCTTCACCCTTTTCAGCATTGCTGTCTCCAAGGGTTTGTTTTCTAGGGGAAGGAGTTTAGACTCAAAATCGTTTGGCCTGAAACTAGAGACCATCTCAAGAACAGGCTTGACAAAGGCACCACTGTCTTTGCCTATTTCACTCTGGGGTGGTAGTGGATCCACAGAGTTCAGCAAAGAGTTGCTGCTGTCCACGATCATGTCGGTCATTTCACAATGCGTCCCATTCTCCATGGCAGTCAGATGTTCTACAAAGCTGTTCTTCTGACATAAAGGTTGCTTTGTCATTCTGCAGTCTGTGGGAAGAGCCGTGCTCAGCTCACAGTAAAGTGTCTCTGAGCCGTGTGGAGGCCTCTGAAAGGGCACTTTGCTAGGTTTAGGTGGAGGCCTGGGGTAGAGCTGGCTGTCAGAACCCCCGAGGACATCATTGATCTGCAACTCCGAAGCAAACCTCCTGAACACACGTGGGCTGAGAGCGGGTTCGCTGCCCGTCCTGAATGCTGGGGACTTTGGGCAAGGGCTCGTTTCAACTTCAGTCCCTTGAGATGGATATTTTAGACCTGAAAGTCAAAGAGAAGAAAATATGGCCGTGTGATATAAAAGTAGCAAATGGCAACTGTCCACTCCATGTTACGAGAGATATCATTGGACGGTGAACCCACCAGAGAGCAAACAAGAGGGAGGGGTCTCGGGCATCCCTTCCTAGCCCAATATATTAAGGAGTGCAGGATCACATGTGTGGGGAGCCCCCCCTTCACACAAGTCGTTATCACACTTTTCTGACTCTCAAGCAGTCTTTGAAAGGGCTTGCTTACATGTGTACCAGTGGATTCTCAGTTTATCAGCAGTGTACCAATTTTCAAGCCAATTATAGCAGGCTCTGTGACTGTCAAATATCATAAGGAAGAGTTTTTTAATTGTCTTTTTTACTTGCAGAAATTGAATGTACATGTGAATTGACCCACACCTTATGTCCCAAAGCAACCAGAGACCAGCTATGACACCATCAGACATAGGGTGGAGGGACACAAGGTAGGGGGGATTGCAGTAGATTCGCAAGGGCAAACTTTACAATGATGCCTCGCAAGATGAAAATAATTCGTTCTGCGAGTCGTTTTGTATTGCGAAAATTTCGTCTTGCGAAGTGCAGTTTCCCATAGGAATGCATTGAAATTTAATTAATGCGTTCCTATTCATCTTGCAAAGCACGGCCATAGAAAAATTTGTTTTGCGAGTCACCAAAAAATCGTAAAACACTTTTGTCTTGCAAGTTTTTCATTGCACGAGGCATTCGTCTCACGAGGCATCACTGTATTTGAATTATATTAGGACCATGGTATTTATGGGGAATTGGTTCCAAGCCTCCCCCCCCCCGTAGATGCCAAGAACCTTGTATGGCAAAATCTATATACAGCAGAGCCTCTGGCCCCCTTTAGTGGCCAGTTCTGATAATGCACCTTAGAAACCCATATTTCTCAGGTTTTTTATTTAATATTTTCAGGCAGTGGATAAGTGAAACCATGGTTACTGATCCCGAAGATACGGCGGTCCTTCTGTACTAGTCGACAACGGAATGAGAAAATCAGAGTATGAGGCTGTGAGAAGAGTAGATTTTTGTGTGAAAGTATTGTGAGTTCACCTCCAATGCCAGCGCTAATTCTTGATCTGAGTTATATGTTCACAGACACATATTCCTTAATTCTAAGTGCATATATGGTATTTCAAACATGGATCCAGTTGACTGGCCTTAAGGTTCCAGTGAATAACCAAAGCGAGCCTGGAAAAGATTTCTGCCAAACCTGTACCTTCTGCCTCTCTTCCCTTCCTTTGTTGCCTCAAACAATTTGGAATATTAGACTGTAGGCACCCTGGGCAGGCATATGTTTTCCCTTACATTCTTCTATAAAGAACAGAAGACTTTGTCTCAGTGATGGGTGAAGGGTAGCACGAGAGATTTTTCTCTCTACCAGGGAAGTGAGAGCGGGGAAGTGTTCTCCCCCATCATATTTATAATACCAGGAGACTCCATTTGCTGAGTGCCAATCCCTGTGCAACCAGAATAGCACCCCACAGAAGACTGAGGTGTCACCAGGTGTGGAGGGGGCAAGCCAGCACAGCTCAGTGAGGACCCCACAGAAGACTGAGGTGTCACCAGGTTTGGAGGTGACAGCACAGCTCAGTGAGAACTGAGCCTGTTCTGTGGCCACAGAGTGCTCGCTTGTAGACTGGAGGAGATGGGAATATCTGGGGAATAGAACAGCATACCATGAAAGTGGGCATGGCTGGATGGCTGGCACCCTGAACAGATACACCCCACACCACAACACTATTGCTGGTCCTGCTTATCCTTTCTCTGCTTCCCAGACATTTTGTTTGTCTCCACATACATAAATGGGATGAGACAAAAAAAAGGGATTTTTCCATTTTCTCGATGTCACAGTCCTTTGTGCACAACAGATTACTCGTACTATGCAAATGGGAGACGAAGGTTAAGCGGGGAGGTAGGAGGTGTACAGCTATTGGGAGTTACTCTATGTAATGTTTTGGGTTGTTCGGTTAAGCGGGGAGGTAGGAGGTGTACAGCGATTGGGAGTTACTCTTTGTAATGTTTTGGGTTGTTCTGTGACAACAAGTTGTTTCTGACTCTATGGTAATTCCATGAGAGTCTGCAAGGTATGTGAGATATTTAAGGAGTGGATTGACCATTGCTACCCTCCAGTAAGTTTCCATTGTTGAGCAGGGATTTGAACACAGGTCTTCTGAGTATTAATCTGACATTCCATCCATTGCACCATACTGGCTCTCGCTGTAAAGAAATGAAGTTCGGTTGATCCCTATTTGGATCCCTTTGCACATAGGCACTTCTCTCTTACATATTGAGCATCATCCTTATACAGTATTATCTCACCCCACACAAATGTTCATATTTGAACAAAAGGAGTGTGCCAACCCCCATAACACAATATGGTGCCATTCTGCATGTCTTTCGGAGACTCTTGTTCCCTGGAGCGAAATGTTTCAGATTGCTCAAATTCTTTCCAGCACCATATATTTAAGATGCATTGTTTAGAAGATGTTCCATGGTAAGCTCCACAAAAACACAGCATCTCTCCTTGTATATGCAAAGCAGATGCACTGCCACATCAATCTATGGTGAGAGCAACAATATTATAAGGCTGTGCACTGAGAGACAGAATATCTCCAGGGCTGGGAAGAGATGCCAGTTGGTAACTGAATCCGGCGGGCAGAAACAGAAATGAGGCCATGACTCAGTAGAAAGAGCCCTGCGTTTTGTACGGGAAGAGCATTTCCTGAAAAAGGGAACCTGGTACAAGGAGTTAAAACATGCATGAATCCCAGGGGCATGGCTCAGGGTCTTACCCGGACAGCTGATGGCTTCCAGGATACGGAATGTATCTAAGAAGCCTTTAAAGGTCCAATTACTGCACAGGCAAAACTCCTCCAGACATCGAAAATTTTAGGGAGGAGTAATCGTAACTTCATACAAACTCATGTGCTCTAAAGCAGTAAGAAGCCAGTCTAGCCAACACACTTTCACTTGTTTGTTTTCTCAAAATTAAAAATATATAAGGCGCAGTTCAGCATTCTGCTTCCACACCTTCCACTTACCCCAGGAAGTCTACAAAGCTGCTGGCACAGGTAGTATTTCAGGCTAACATGCGGAAATTCTGCAACCTGCATACAGTTAGATAGATTGCTCTGCACATTTTATTTTGGAACTATTCGAATAGAAGGGCTCACAGGCATCTGTTAATAGGAATATCTTTACTCCTTGCTTTTTTCCTTTTAAAGTATCTGAAGCAGTTCTAACACCAAGATAGTGGCAGTCATATATTCTTTTTTTAAAAAACTAATTAAATCTCCTCCTTATTTTGTGTTCGCAAGTGATTTTTCATTACTATATAATCTTTTAGTGCAATAATCTTCACAAAAACTCTGTAAAGCATTTAGTATTACCACCTAGGGTTGTTGTCATGTGCTATCAAGTCAGAACAAACTTATAGTGACCCTAATAGCTGTTTCAAAGTAAGTGAAATATTTAAGGGCTTCCATGGTTGAATGGGGAATTGAACCCAGGCATCCTCGAAAGCATGTAAAAATGCGAGTAGATAAATAGGTACCACCACGGTGGGAAGGTAATGCTGTTCCGTGTCTAGTTGCGCTGGCCACGTGACCACAGAAACAGTCTCCGGACAAACACTGGCTCTATGGCTTGGAAATGGGGATGAGCACTGCCCCCTAGAGTCAGACATGACTGGACAAATTGTCAAGGGGAACCTTTATCTTTACCTCGTGAATCCTAGTCCATTCTGTCCACTACACCAGGGGTCCCCAACCCCCAACCCAATGCCAGTCCGTGGGCTTCCCAGGACTGGGCCACAGAGACAGATCACTGCCCCCGCATACACATACAGTGGGCATGTCGCGCTTGCGGGGGGCATGTCACGCTCACAGATGGGCGTGTTGCACTCATGGATGGGCGTGCTGTGCTCACGCACATGTGCGGGAGAGCGCACTGCACTCGCACAACACGCCCACCCGTGAGTGCAGGGGTGCCCCCACCCCCGCGCACACGAAGCCCACCCCCCTCAACCAATCTGCAGTTCCAAAAAGATTGGGGACCGCTGCACTACACCACATTGAGTATCCCTAGTACCCTACCTAGGATAGTAATTCTAAATACTAATCTCAAGAAGGAGGAATAGGGCAGAGCTCCTAAATGCCACCTCTGCAATGAGTTCACTGCTGAGGTGAAACATGACCCATGAACTACATGGGCCACCGTCCACTTATAACTCAACACCCATAGGGCTTGGAGAAGTAACATTTTTGGACTATAACTCCCAGAAGTAACCGGGACATCTTTCAAGCAGAAGCTCAGTGAACAGCACTCCATTGCCCTGATTCCATCTGGCTACATGCTGAATTCTTTAGTCAGTGGCCAAACATACCTATTGGCAGATAGCTTTCTGACTGGTGAGTCTTCAGGGGCAATCTCCGCTCCTGCACATGGTCCAAACATGCTGGATGGCTGCCACTTTTTTCCTTGTTTCTGAAAGGAGGAAAAGAAAAAGGCATGGCTCAACTCAGCCCAACTCCCAGAGTTCAGGATCATGCTTCTCCCAATGATTTTGCTTAGAGAAATAACACACATCTTATAAGGCCAACCCAACACATTTTGATGTTTATAGAACAGGATGAAATGATACCCTCTCCTGTTTGACACACTGCCAACAGGAAAGTGTTTTTCCCCACATCTGAAGAAAGCAAGCTAATTTAAGAGTGTTACGGACAAGCTCCCCACCTCCTAGTACAGTGATGACGAACCTATGGCACGCGTGCCACAGGTGGCATGCGAAGCCCTTCTGGCACGCAGCAAACCTTTTGAAGTGGCTGCAGCTGGGATTCCCCCTTTCTCTTCCTGTTCTGGGTCCTTTAACTTCCTGTCCGTCCCCGTTATTCCCTCTTTAACTTCCCGTCCGTCCCCATGATTCCCCCTGAAACTGCCACTTCCTATTCTGGTTCTGGTCTTCCGGGCGGCACGGCAGCCACTGGTTTCTTCCCCACCCTCTCATTTTGGGCACTTGAGCCGAAAAAGGTTTGCCTCCACTGTCCTAGTATATGCCACCTAAGCCAACTACTCCACTCTACCTTATTGTAGGGTCATCCCTGTAGAGCCAGAGAGTCTCATTCCAGGCGTGTTAGGAACAATACTGTGATAACTTACTCACGGAGCCCACCTCTACTAGACTGCTGAGGAAGGGGCACTGGCCTGCTCTCTGCCGCACTGTGGTGCACTCCTGTGAAGGGCAAAGGGTTGTATGGTCCTTGCCAACCCAGCATGAATGAGGCAATACCAGAGTCCAAACTATTTGTTTCCTCAGTTTCAGCAACCTGTTGCTCCTATTGGACCAGGGTGAGGGTGGTAAGGACCAGCCTGGAGCAGCAGCTCTGGGAGAAGGGGCATTCAACTCTCCCCTTTGCAACATTTATAAAGTGACAATCTATTCCCCAGTAAAGGTCTTGAACTCTCTCATGGGACAAGAGGACCACACCTTAAAAGGTTTCCTCGAACTGAATTCTGCTCCCTGGCTTGGTGACTACACATATTGAGGCTCAGTCTTTTGGGGGTTTCTGCTTGCCCTTCAGGAATGCTGCCCTCTCTGTGCAGGCCTGGAGTGACGCCGTATTTCTCCTCCAGACATCGTAACGGAACTGTCCTGTTGATGGGCTGAAATATAATGGCTCCACTCTGCTTTGATATTGGCCTGCGGTTTCCCACATAGCACCGAACCAAACCAGGAATGCTGTCAAAACTTTCATCTTCAAAGCGGTACTGAACACGGCAGTAAGCTTCATTGAGCCTCAGGATGGTTTTGTTGATCTTGAAGTGCTGAGAGACATTTTTCCACTGACAGGTAAGAACAAAATTCCCAGGGCTGGAGAGGGAGTCTCGGATCAGGAAATCTCCATCTCTCTGAATAAGACTTTCCGCCACCTGTAAAAGAAAAGGACTGCTGAGATCAAAAGGAAATGAACACTCCTGTCATGTTTATATCATTTTTGAAGGTATACAGATAAACAGATTTTAATTTTCAGCCTAAAGAAAAACACAGATGATCATTAAAAGCTTTTATATTCCAAAATGAGAGGGAGTGGGAATATCAGAACATGATAAATATTGCTACCTATACAGCTGCTATTCAAATATATAATCTCTGAACAATTCAGCGAATTCAGGCAAATTATATTCCTTTTCCCCTTCCTGGAGCTTGTCTTATCCTGCAAATCAGTCTTCCCGTTTAAGTAATCCACCAGACTTTAGTCAGCGGGATATAAATATAAGCAACACACACATATATAAATATGACCAATCCCAGAACAAACAGACTGAATCGGCTCAAAAAACTGTCTGTTTGGTCTGGGATTGGTCACCTTTTTCTATGATGCTCCAAGAAAGCTGAGAGGTTTTCATTTTAAAAAAATGTGTATCCATCAGTATCTCAGCAACAAGGACTCTTTGTTTATTTATAGGAATCTCTTGACACAGTGGTTACACTGCAGTACTGCACCCAAACCTCTACTCATGACCTGGATCCAATCCCAAATAACTGGCCCAAGGTTCACTCTTTCTAGAGTAACACATGTGTTTCATTTTCTGTACAGAATCCAGAAAGGATATAATTTTAGAACTGTGGAGCTGGAATGGACCCTATAGATCATTAAGTCCCGCCCTCCTACCAAAGAGGCATAGTGGGGGAACTGAACTCATATGTTTCACCATTTCCTGTAATTACATAATTTCTGCTCCCTAAATACTTTGCTCATGTGTTTTCCTTAATATTTACTAAATTCCAACTAGCAAAGAGAAACGTAGGTTTCTGATCAATTGAATTTGCTGGGGAAAAAGAAGCCGTGGGACCAAAAAGATAGTTGGATCAAACAAGGAAGAACAAATGAACAGGAAAGAACTGGCTGAGTCGCCTGAATGGGGAACCAGGAAGGGACTCACCTGTCGTGGGATACGCCCGTGATACCAGGCGTGACTGCGCAGATCGTCACTGCTCATCTGCAGCTCCTCTTCCAACTCTTTCTTTAACTTCTCTGGGGAACTGCCCACTGCCTGCCTGTCCATCACCTGTCTGTCTTTTGAAAACTGAAAAACAGAGAAAGAAGGAGAGACGTATCATTCCAGGTCTGATGAGAAACACCTTAGTTTGCTCAAAACTTTCATTTTGCCCATTGAATCAGGAGGTGCGCAACAGCCAATAGTACTCAGGCGCTCCCTTATTTCAAGCCTTTGATCCCTAAGCAGTATTTGTGAAAGCTACTGTACTGCCAAGAGAGAAGATAGGTAATGATTACATGTTGCAAGGTGTATCGTAAAATGTCCCACCTAGATGCTTGCAATAATAACCAGTGTGCCTGCTGAGTCATTTATGGACTTTCTCCCAGAGAATGAATGGTTTTATGGAGAGAGAAAGAAAAAGAGGATCCCTGCTGGGGAAATGATTGTCATTGTCAGGAACACGCTTTGTGTGAAAAAAAAACATCACATCGCTTATTGCCTGGCATTTCCAGTACAGCTGGCAAAAACTCCTGTTTGAAACACTAGAAAACCATGGCCATCACAGCAAACCAGCCTTCCCTAGCTTTCATCTATTCCAGTCAGCATGGCCAAATGCTGGTCAGAAACGTTGAGAGTTGAGAGCCTGGATGGGAAGACCGCTGCAGGCAATGCTGAACTAGAGGAACTCGTGGTTTGACGCTGTCCGAGACACAACTCCTCCACTTATTCCCAACGCTTCAGCCCCAACACCCATTTCACACAAGTTAGAAGAGGCTCTGCTTCAGTATTGTCAGCCAAAAATTACACTAGCAATATATTCCTAAAACCCTGTAGCGTACACTCCAATTATATTTGCATCCTCTGCACATACCTTCCACAACTCCTTTTCACACAAGTTAGAAGAGGCTCTGCTTCAACATTTTTGTCAGTCAAAAAGTACACTAGCAATATATTCCTAAAATCCTGTAGCGTACAATCCAATTATATTTGCATCCTCTGCACATATCTTCCACAACTCCTTCAACAACAATAACAATAATGTGCTCTCAAGTCAATTCCAACATCGCAACCCTTTTCAGGATTTTCCGGGTAGATAACTCAGAAAGGGTTTACAATTCTTTTCTTCTTGAGGACCCATAGGATTCTGGAGTTTGTCCATGACTACACAAGCTGGCTCTACTTCCAAGCTCTGGCTCCACAGCCAAATACCTAAGCCATTGAGCTATCCAGCCACTCCATGGATGGAGTTACACCAATGTAAATATACAAAAGGATTCAAGTAACTTAAAAAAAAATAGAACAGTAAGTAATTGGGAGGAGCATTGCTTCCTTTGCCTTATTTGTCTTTGTGCTTATCAAAATTGCCTGATTTCATCTTAAAAGTGCTGCTGTCAGTGGTCTTCACTTGTAAAAATGTTTAGAGCTTAGGGCCTCAAAACACTAAAATCTGATCTACTCTTCCATAGAATCATAGAAAAGTGAAGTCGGAAGGGACCTACAAGACCATCAAGTCCAACCCCCTGTTCAATGCAGGAATACAACCAAAGTATATCTGCCAGGTGATTATCTAAGTTTTTCTTGAATGCCTCCACTGTTGGAGCACTCACTAACTCCTGAGGTAACTGCTCTAACAGTGAATACGTTTTTCTTTATATTCAACCGAAATCTGGCTTACTGTAACTTGAGCCCATTGTTGTGTGTCCTGCACTCTGGGATGATTGAGAACAGATCTTGCCCCCCCCCAGCCTTTCAAATATTTAAAAAATGCTATCATATCACCCCTCAGTCTTCTTTTCTCAAAGCTAAACATGCCCAATTCTTTCAGCCTTTCCTCATAAGGCTTGGTTTCCAGCCCCTTGATCATCCTTGTCGCCCTTCTCTGAACTTGTTCCGATTTGTTAGCATCCTTCTTGAAGTGTGGTGTCCAGAATAGGACACAAGACTCAAGGTGAGGCCTAATCAGTGCTGACTAGAGGGAGACCAGCACCTCATGGGATTTGGAAACTATACTTCTATTGATGCAGCCTAAAACAGCATTTGCCTTTTTTGTAGCCACATTACACTGTTGGCTCTCCTGCTGTTACCACATTTTATCTCCCGCAGTTATTTCCTTTGTTGTGCTAGTCTTTATTACACAAACTTAGATATGCAAACAAATCTGGTATTTGCATTCTAATTAAAATTCTAATGACACTTGTGGGGTTTTTTTTAACTTTTAATGTTCAAAATCCTATTGCTCCCTTTTGCTTGCTCAGCTGTCCACACTGCTAGTTGCTGTACAGTCTAGTCTAGCTTGAAAACCACTCATACAACTGGTCATGGAATGAGGAGAAGGAATAAATAGGATTCTGCTCATTGCGTTTTCACAGTTATGACTGTTTTTTTGCCACTTGAGGGAACATTGCTTCTAAATACAGGAGCAGCATCTTGGATAGTAAGGCTTGTCTAGCCTTGACTCCTCCCATTCAGTAATTATCTTCTGGGGTGACAAACATCAGCTCAAATGCTGCAGATAAGGCTGAAATTAAGCTCCTGTTTCGTTTCTTCCCCCTGATGTTTTTGTAAACCAAGATGCTTTATAATTATATGCATTCCTCCACAAAGTGCAGATGCTATTTGCCATTCAGCAGCAGCAAGCTAAGGTATGACATTATGGTGTCTTGTCTTGTTCAGTCGTTTAGTCGTGTCCGACTCTTCGTGACCCCATGGACCAGAGCACGCCAGGCCCTCCTATCTTCCACCGCCTCCCGGAGTTGTGTCAAATTCATGTTGGTTGCTTCGATGACACTGTCCAACCATCTCATCCTCGGTCGTCCCCTTCTCCTCTTGCCTTCACACTTTCCCAACATCAAAGTCTTTTCCAAGGAGTCTTCTCTTCTCATAAGATGGCCAAAGTACTGGAGCCTCAGCTTCAGGATCTGTCCTTCCAATGAGCACTCGGGGTTGATTTCCTTTAGAATTGATAGGTTTGTTCTCTTTGCAGTCCAGGGAACTCGCAAGAGTCTCCTCCAGCACCACAATTCAAAGGCATCAATTCTTCGGCAGTCAGCTTTCTTTATGGTCCAGCTCTCACTTCCATACAACACTACAGGAAAAACCATAGCTTTGACTATTCGGACTTTTGTTGGCAAGGTGATGTCTGCTTTTTAAGATGCTGTCAAGGTTAGGAATGGTGGTAGGAATGGGGAAACTCTGCCCTGATGTAATCAGATTGAGTGTATATTACTCTATGCAATTGCAGTTAGTATGCCGTTTGTATCCTGAAGATGGCAGGACATGATTTCCTTTCGAAAGCTTTATTTATTTATTTTTGTTATATTAAAGTTTTTACTTGGAAGCGAAACCCGTTAACTTTTGGGGGGTCAATTCAGTCTCTTGGACTGGCATCGGTCAACTTTTTTTTTCTGCCCTGTGGATTTTCATATCAAAATTACAAGCTTTTTGTCTCTGCACAATTCTCACAGAGAAGAGGTACACTTGAAGTCTATTTGAAGCCTAGGAAGTTTGTGTCTTGGCTACGATGTACAAATAATGTGCATCAGTTTCAACACACATTCTACATAGGAAAAACAGAGGGAGTGACTACATGTGCATCTGCTGCTTTTGCTAGTGACTAGATGACATAAGTATCAGCTCAAACCAGCCTGTTCCCAGAGCATTCCTACCTGAACCTTTTTGGCTTCCTGTCAGGAGCTACTCTTTCTTAGGTGCAGGTAAGGTCACTCCATTTTGGTTCAATTCCAGCACGTGCAGAGCTTTCTGCTTTAAATGTCCCATCCAGTTTTGATTTCCCAATATCATTATGCTTAGCCACTTAATGGTTTAGAAAAAAAAACATTTTTTTTCTTCTGCTTCTAAAGTGGAGGAAGCAACTTTTTTTGGTTTAAGCCTCTCAGAGCAGTGCTGAAAAAAATTAAGCTGAAAGCTTCCGCTCAGAAGGAAGAGACAGGAGGGGTCAAGGAGGATCTTTTCTTTCTTTTCTTAGGGGAGGCAGCCCAAATAGGGTTGCTTGAAGTGTGCATGTCATGTGGATGCAAGAATCACACCAAATGGCATACAGGACCCCTACACGATCTTAACCTACACTATTTAGCCCAACCCTGGATGCTTCAATTGAGCTACTGAACCTGAGTCTGAATTCCAATGAATGCTGCCAGTCTGAAAGAGAATTTGGGCCCTGAAGCATTGTTCCTTTCCCCTACTAAGGCTCTTCAGGACAGTAGGTAGGAGAGTCTACAAAAAGCCAGTTCACATCAACAACCTCCTTGGCCAACACTTCTGCTATTTACTCTCTTTCCTTATTGTCACTTAGTGTCCCTGTCACCACAACTGATGCCCTTCAAGTGGGAAGTCAACAAAAGCAATCATGTTCTGGGGACCTTCTCAAAATGAAATTAATTAATCTAATTAAATGTCATTGAGTCAATGCCAGGGTTTTCTAGGTACTTAGAAACTGTTTATTATTCCCTTCTTCTGTGGGCATTCGGAGACTGTGCAGTTTGCCTGAGCCTACTCACAAACTCCTTATCTCTGGCTCCACAGCCAAGTACTGTATCCAATTCACTCAGCTACTGAACTAGCTCTTCTCAAAATAAGCATCCTTAGTAATCAGGCCCAAACTAATCATGCTGTTGATTAATCTGACCATACTGGTGTGAGTATTCTGAGAGCTGCAATCTTTAAAAAAGGATTTTCCCCCATTTTTATCCCACCCACAAAAACATATTGGATATTGCAACGGTTCCTGAAAAAGAGGGCAACCACAAGACACTCTTGCAATTCAACATTCCTGATAAAAACTGCTCATCAAAAAGTCAGCAGAATATGAATAGTTTCTGTAGATATTTGTGGTTGCTAAATAAATCCTTCTTTGAAGCTTCTAAAGAAGCAGAAATAAAGTAATACAAAACTGGGGACTCCATGATTGTAGGCTGGGCGTTACCATGCAACAAATAGCCATGGAAACATTTTTCCCATGGCTCTGTATTTCCTCTTAGAAACTTGGACAAACTCCCAGGCCTTTCTTAGAGATGTGAATGCCTCTCTATAGTGACTGAAAAAAGACTGAACAACACAAGTTCTCATCC